TGATATAGAATCATTAATTACGTATACAAACCTTATAAAAAACGTATCATTTCCTTATTTCGATTTCTTATAGGGCTGAATGAAGATGCATATAATAAAAAGATGGCTAGATATCGAAAATGGTATCAGAATAAAAAAGACCTTCTTGCTAGTATTGAAAATCTGTACAGCCTATTCTATACAATATCTAAAGAAGAGTGACCTATAGCTGAAGAAGAAATTGACAAAACAATAGAAGAGCTAATTGCTGATGATGATATTGAATAAAAATTAACTTTCTGAAAGAAACATGCAGTAAATTATTGATTGAGTACCCATTTCGGAGGTAAATTGCAGTGTTTAATCATAATCAATTCTTCTCGTACAAAAGAATTTTTCAGGTTATTACCCTCATCATCTATTAGCCAGTACAAGACCGGCTGATTTTTTTATTAAAGAATTCTTCTGATATTAAAAATATTTGTACTCCAATTAATATCAGTAATTCTTCTTCTAGCAAGGCTATGTTCTAATTCATCAGGTTTAAGAAGATATCTTACTGAGTCATAATAGGATAAATAAGGTTCATCATAACCAATAGGCCTTCTGTGTTTTACGGCTGGCTTAGCGATTATCTTCTCCCTATTTAGTGCTCTTTTTACAGCTTCATTGGAAGACATGTCTTTCAATCGGGTTAGTATATTATTGAATATATTATCATTTATATGAAGACTTCTAACCCAATCTCTAGATCTTTCAGATAAGAAAAGTAAAAATCTTTCGCATCTTGCTGAATATAAGCAGGTTTTTCAAATTCTTAGTGATCATGTTCAGCTATAGCATTCTCTTACTTAGATTCGGCATACTGTCTTTTTACACCATAACCAAGTAATAAAATTTTACATTCACCTATATATTCCATTCCTTTATCAGAAATAAAACAATTGGGCCAAGAAAGAGGTTTATTAGGATCATCATAAATTTTTTGAATATTTTTAGCTATTTGTGCAGATGACTTATTAGTTAAAGCAAAACTATGATGATACCTAGTTACAACATCTTTAAGAACCCCCTATATTTATAAATCCAATTACCTACTTTAAAATGTGACATGGGTATAGTATCAGACTGGTGTACTTCATTCAAATCTTAAATAATATTAAAAGAAGCATGCTAAATAAATTTAGAGCGAGGCATATAAATCTGGTATACAGCTTGTCCTTCAAGCCAATTCTTCATCTCATCTAAAGTAAAATCATACCCAGCTTTCTGAGAAGCTTCAAACAATTTTTTTACAGTCCTCTAATAGCCTGAAAGCTGGCAATAAATCTTTTGCAAAGCAATAGAAATATCAAGTTTTCGAGCTTCACCTTAATCTATCTGAATAATAGGAATTAATAGGGGTTGAGCAAGCATATCTCGATTTATTAGATAGCAATCTAAAATTGCGAATAAAGTTAACTCAAGAGAAAACTACCACTATTAGAAATAAGGAAAAGATTCACAAGCTCACAAATGATCTAGAGCAATGTGAGCTATATATAAAATATCTTGAAAAAATCTTATCTCACAAGAGAATGAGATAGATAGATTAAAAGCAGAATACCACTCAACCTTACAATAGCTTAAAAAATGATTATTTAGAGCTAAAGGAGGAGGCATTGATCACTCAAGATAACCAAATCATTCTGCTAGAAGATACTGTAGAAAAGCTCAAAAGCCAAATTCTCAAGATATCATATTTTCAAAATAATAGTAATAAACCTTCTGAAGAAGAATGAGAAAATATGACATTGCCAGATATTTTAAGGAAAATTGGTACAGCTTTAGATCGGATTGAAAATTATATTGATGGGATGGATACAACATTTAATCCAAAAAATACTTTGAATAGAATACGAATTTCAATAACAACTTTCTGAGAGCATATGCAAAGATATGCTCAAGATGCAAATAATTTACAAGGCTAGTTTAATACTGCTTATAATCTGCTCAATAATGCTAATAGGCAGATAAATAACTTTATGAATGATATGGAAATGTTAGAAATGAATGTCTTCGAAGAACTCAGTAGTAAAATTTAGCATATAATAATGAGGCAAATGAGCATCATAGTTGGTGGCAAATTGCTCAGGAAAGGCAAACTAATGGATAAAAAATGGCTTTTAGAAAGTAGAATCAGATTAATATATTAGTACAAAAAAGGCAGTTCTCAAAATATTAGTTTGAAGGCGCAAAACTGAAGCAGACTTAGCAGAATTCAATCGGGTATGGGTATTTAATAGATACTAAAAATGGAAGGCTAGAGAATTAAACTCCCAATAAATTATTTTTAATTTACAAAATAATCCGCTTATTAATTCACCAAACATGACAAAAGCTAGACATCAACCATTATATAATATAATAGGACCTATTTTTGCTAAACATGAACATTATACTGGGCAGGAGCTTCCTGATGAATACTTAAATAAAGTCTAAAATTCTATATCACATTTAGAGCCAAATATGACAGCGCTTGAAAATGCCAATGCAAATAACTTTAATGATGCCATTAAATATGGTCTTTTAAAATCCAAGAAAGGAAAGTATCTATCAGTTCTGAATAATGATCCTTATACTGCTGGCAATTCAGCTATTAATTTGCCAGCCACTTTAAGAGCATGGATGAGAGCAAAATATCAGCGTAAAATAATAGATACCCAGCAATCGTCAATTCAGAGAATATTTCAAGAAAGATTCTTACCAATAGATAATTCTGATATATATGAAAAAAGAATTCGCCTGTTATTATTAGGTGTGGCAAATAATGATGCAACTGCTCTATCATTTCTAAAAAACCACTTATCAGGTGATTTCTATACATGGATGAAGATTGCTAACCTAGCCAATATAGATGCTTACTTTACAGAACTAAAGAATTTATGGCTAGAATGTAATTCTGCAGTAAGTTCACAAGCATCTTTTCAACAAATAGCTACTTTTCAAAAGATTACACCTATTTTACAAAAAGATGATTTTAAAATTTGACTTGTAAGGGATTTGCAATATACGGAAATAGCAACAGATGATGCAACTTTAGAAAAATTTATTTATGACGATCTTCAAAGAAAGTTAAAAAGTAAAACAGCTCATGTAAGAAAGAGTCCTTTTACTTCCAGAAGTGCCTATGCTACGAAGAAAGTTGTTAGAAAGGTAGCATTAAGTAAAGCACCTATCGGCAAAGCAGTAAGCAAGTTTGTTCAACATTGCTTATTCTGCAGAAAGGCTAGACATATAAAGGTTAATTGTCCTAGAGGCAAGCGAACTAAAAAGATTAATCATGCATACCAAGAGGTGGTAGAAGATCCTGAAAACTTTAAAGAAGAATACATAGAAGAATACATAGTGGAAGAAGAAGTTAATTCTGAAGAAGAGGAAATAGAAGAAGTCGAAGATGATGAGGAGGAATATGATGATAATAAATCTTGTAACTGCTATGCTGTAAAAAAAAAGTGGTGCAAAGTGGAGTACCTATGAAAAAGAGCGTTAAGCCGAAAGAAGGAGCAACCAAGAAATTCATACTTCCAAATCTCATGCTAAGACATCAGGCAATATAATCATGGCTACAGATCAAATGTATCAAATAACCTTAAAATCTATAATATCATCAGTAGTCCCCAATTGTCCTAAAGATATTCTTATAGAAATTTCGAAATTTATTAATGCAATAGAGCCTAAATTAAAAGTCCATTGCTTGAATACTGTTATGCCAAATGATACAGTTAAAAGAAGAGAATTATCATCGAAAAATGTTACAAGTAAAATTCAAGATGTCTTACTTCCGCTAATGCAGGCTACAAATGCTTAACAGAAACTTCTTTTATAAGTCCCAAACAATAAAGAATCTGTCCAGAACACTTCCAACCCAAATGAAGATATAGTTATGGCAGATTCTACTAAAATAAAGGAAATTAATACTATATCCTCTAGTCATATTTTGCCAGAGAACCTAGCTTTTGCATCTGGTTCGAAGAACTACTCTAGATCGATCCAGCTAGAACATGCTATTAAGGCTTATACATCAGCTCAAAAAAAAATAGCTAAATATATTGGTCTAAGCCCTTAGAGATAAAATTTTTACAAATAAATGATGGTGACGATATTGCAACTATCTCCTGTAAAGTGAAAGACGCAACTATACCTTACGCAATGATTTATAGTGAATCAGACTCCTCAATAGCCTCAAAAAATATTGCCAAATACTTGAGACTTAAAATAAATAGAAAGAAGATTCATCGACTTAATGGAGTCATAAGTAAATTCCATTCCTTTGGTACGGTTAATAGTGTTCCTGTAACTATTGAGGATGGGAAAAATAAAGACATCATTTCAAATGAATTTTCTATCGTTCCTACAGAATATGATGATAATGGAAAAGAATTATCTCTATTTATTCTTGAGATATAGTGGCAATATCGTGCAGGATGGGAACCTTTAGTGAAGGGAGAATTTAGGGTAACTCAAAATGGAAAACTATCGTTATCCTTCTATCAGTTCACAAATTCCAGCGTAATATTTTTACTGTAGGGAAGGAGGCAGAGCCTCTAAAAAAAAAACTAACTAGCAAATGTTCTAATAAGGAACAGATATGCAAAAAATGTGGTAAAGAATTTTTGTATCCATCCAAGCTTGAACAATATTTAGCTAATAAGACTTTATGTATTTTTTCTTCTAGTAGTTCAGTAGTACCAGAAATTACTAAGACCCATATATTTTTCCTTCTAGTAGTTCGATAGTAACAGAAATTACTATTATCTCATATATTTTTCCTTCTAGTAGTTCGGTAGTGCTAGAAAAAATATGGTACCCATTAGGTTAAGTCTGGCCTATACACGAGTTCGGAATGTATATTTTTTTCAGATACTTAGATTTTTCTTTATGGAACTTTTGTATAAATATAGGAACGAAATGTATATTTTTTTAGATATTTGAATCATCAGAAGCATCATCACGTCATCTATTCCACAAAACTTTGGCATTTTTTTCATAAATATGGCTGGTTCTATAGTATTATCTATATAACTAGGATTAATGGAATGAAATCCTTCATAATCAGTAATAATAGCTTGATCTGGCAATAATAATATCATCCAATATCTTGATAGTTTTTTTAACTGAAGAAAGGACATATTAAAGATCCTTTATTTCATTCTTAGATCATGAAAGTGATGCGGATAACTTGCTAATCTCCTTATCTTTTACGACATTAGCTTTATCCAAACTGGAGATATGAGATTTGTATTGACTCTTCAAGTCATCTGAGTGAGATTTATGCTGGTCTTCTAGTTGATTCTTAAAAGAATAGGTTGTCTGTTTCATATCTACCATGCAATTATTGTACTTATTCTCTAGATCAGTTTTAAGAGTGCGTTCCTCAGCAACCTGGGCCTCAATGCTTTTCTTAATATTATTCTCCCATTGCTAAACATGAAGCTCACGTTCCTCTAACTGTTTCTTAAACCCATCTAACTGAGATAATTTGAAGAATCCCTCTAGGATCACATTTGCTTCAATTTTAATCTTCTGGCGATTTTTTTATTAAAGTATCTATCAACCTCTCTAGTAAGCAATTCCTCAATATCAGAACGAATACCTCTAGCCTGTTCTTCAGATAGGGGATTATTTTTGCGGGTTGTTAGACGTAACCATGCATCCTTTTTCATGAATGAGGGTAATTGGTCAAGTAAACTCTTATAGTTATTATTGAAATGCGGGGTTCCAAAGGGACAGGACATATGTTTGAATAGGATAAGTATTATAGTCTTGGAAAATTCCCAGAAAAAAATATTCCTAGAAGTCCATTGTGTCCTGAAAGTTTGGGTATTCTATAAGTTCACTAAAAGTTTTGCTAAGAGATTCTTGCTAAAAAATTTTGCGGGCTAGCTACTTTTAGGAAAAAAATACTAAGAAAATCCCAGAAAGTTATGTGCGAAGGCTTGCCAAAATATTTATTGCATCCATTAACAATATATTAGCTCGCTCTATTTTAGCTGAGAAATCAACATTTGGGTTCGCTTTATTGAACAAATCCCCCTGGGATCACGCCTCTTCTGTTTGTGTTGCTTTATCCACTTTGTCTAAGAAATCAGTAGTTCTTGTTTGCGTTCTAGTATCCATACTGTATATATATAAACTATTAGTTAATTGCCGTTTCTTTTTTTGGTCATATCTTTCAATTTCATGTCTTAAGAGTGTCTCTATACTAGGATTCTTCACAGCTGCCATCAATTGCAGAGAGTGGATTGCGCTTTCGGGTTGTTAAACGTTTCCATGCCTCATTTATTATAGATGGGGGCAGTTGTTTAAGAAGACCTGAATACCTCTCATGATAAGATGGGATTTCTGCATATAAGTCGATGATCTCTTCAATGTCTGCCATTTAGTAACGAATTTACTACACTTAATCTGTGCAATGTTCAAGTGTTTGAATGAGTATTAAAATACACGGTCTAGTACATTATCATAAGAGAGATTTAAAATATACTGTACCTCGCAGAAAAAGTTCTAATTCGTGCTATTTTCGGATGGGAAGAATTTTCGTTAGAGCGGGTTTTTCCGGCGGGATATACTATTATATCCGACGTAAAAAATTCCTTAACAAACTTCCTTAACCAAGTTTAGGAAATTAGTCATACTTATGACCTTGATACTTTATATATACGCACTGCGATTAAAACATTCACACATGCGTTTAAAAATTCAAAGTAAAGTTTTTATTATATTTTTGTAAGATAATACATGGTAAAGAAGCCATTTTGAAATGATGAGATCCGTTTATATATAAGCAAATTTTTTAATTCAATACCGGCTCCTTTATATTTATGTTGAGGATCAAAGCAGTTATCAAAGCATCAAACACCAAATTCTTTTATAAAATTTTCTCCTGGAAATATAAAATATAACAAATGAAAATGGCAATGGTTTAGATGATTCGCAATTTCTACTGCGCTTTGTTCTTGGTTTACCAAGCCAACAACTACTTGGTTGTTAAAGGTGATCTCGTAGTTTGTAGGATAATTGATGATAAAGTCCCCAAACGGACGGAGAAATACTGGCGCCACTGGTCAATTTCTTGTGGCATCTGTTACAGTAATCCCGGCTGGGATCTTATGTCATTTGGCGGGTTTCCGTTATCTGTAAAATATATTCTCCCGTTCGGAGAGCCAAGAGAGCCTATTTTCAAAACGACGTTTCCACCGAGATCAACACAATATGTGTTATTGTTTACATAAGAGAACGAATCAGCGAGTCTCATTTTAGGCATAATATCTGTTTTCATTTTGATACAAAGTAGACAGATAACGTATGAAAGTTAAAAGTATTTTTTTTTTCGATTATTATATATATAGATCGCGCAGATTAATTAACTGACTGCTCCCTATTGTCTGTCACTTGAATACTACGCTTTACTCGATCAAAGAGTTAGTTCTTACCACGTTATGAAAATACAGATGAAAGAGAATACACGTTATGAAAAATACAGAAGAAAGAGAATAAAGAACAGCGTTGGTAATAATTGTTTGTCGAAACTTTCAGTATACACTGATTCGACGTCATGAGATCATAAATATATGATACGTAAGTTATACATGTATATATACAGTATAGCCATATAGGAGTACAAAATAACTCTTTCAGGGCCACTATAATCATAAATGTTCTATTAATAAATTTGATCGGTCCTGATGATTTCATAAAAGCATCTATCCCCTGCACCTGCGTCTTTATTTCATTAATTTCATAGCGCAGTTGAATATTTTCCTTGATTCGTTCCTCATGTTCCCCAGTCAGTTTTCCATAAAACGGCCAAAGGTTTCTTTATTATATTTAAGCATTTGCTTTTGCAGGACAATAACCCAGCTATTAATTTCCGCCTCATGATCATGCTTTAGCGCTGTATTATCTGTTTGTGTCCCATTGTCTGTGACGTAAGAAATAGGCAATGTTATGGGTGCCGGGCATTCAGGCCAACTTTGTGGACGTAATTTTTTCCGATCCATAGTTTTGCGACTCCGGTCTAATGATTTCTGGTAAATCTCTAATGTATGGTGCAAATAATCCTCTATCCGCTTATTTTTCTCTGAAATCTGATTTAGAGGAATAGGTTTACGCGAATGATTTAAGAGCCTTTGTATGTCCTATCTTTTATACTTACTGGAAGTTTATCTGTAATGTAATTATAATCTGGATGGAACATTATACTCAGATATTTTGCGCGTAAAAAAAATCTTGCATGCAAAAAATTTATTATTATTATTATTTAAAAAATAACATTCGGAGCTTTATTAAAATTTTTAGATAGATGCCTTCCGGCTAAGAAATATAAAAAAATGGCTAGGAAGATAGCGGTTGAAATAAATGATGCACAAAGAGTCATAAACACTCTAATAAAGAGGGAGTACTCGGATCTTAGGCCATAAAATGAGAGTCCTTATTTCGCACTACTACCCCCATTGAAGATGATACCGTTATTACTTCTATTACTACTGCTACTACTACTACTACCAGTAATGTACATGGGACAATGTCCGATATGTAGATTGGGACATGGGACATTTTGGGACATGTCCAAATGTCCGTGTCCTAGAATGTCCCAGCTTATTGATT